GTAATACATTTTAAATGCCTACCTGTGTCGAAAGTGTGGTGGTGTTTTTAACAAAATGCACATATTTATGCTAATTAATTAAAAAACACTATTACTTACATCACGTCTTCGGCGTCTGCTTGTCGGAGTATTTTGCCTTGGCAGGTGAACCGCTAAAAACAAACGATACGTATTCATGTGATCTGTTTAATACCAGACGTAGTTTTAAGGAGTGTCATTTTGTACGATTAAGGGAAGGATGGTGATTTAATTTGATACATTATCTTCGATTTCTAAAAAAATAGCATCTATGGTCCCCTCTTGACATTAAAATTTTGAGTAGCTGAATCATAGTTCGAAGCCGTACCAAATGGCACCAATCGCCTTCAAAAATACCAAACATTTTCGGTGCCCTTCACCAGGTCCGGACCTCACGCCGGGGCTTTGGGGGTACGGTCGGTTTCGTATCTGCGACCTGTCATTCCCCAAAACCGGACCCCTTCAAATAACCCTGGATCCGCACCTGGATGTACACGTATATGCTGGACGCCGGTCATTTTTTTAGTGAGGTATGGGCGCATATGATTTAATATAAATGATCGGAATGATTTAACCCGCTTGATTTTATCAGATCAATTACTAAATATAGTAACACTAATTTCCTCAATTCATTTTTTCCCATTTTTCTGTGTACCTTTTTACACAACTTATTAAACGGGTTCATATCTTGTTTTCTTCACAAAAGACATGGATTATACAATAAGGTTTATATAAACAGATGAGAGGAGACTTTAATTAGATAAGAGACAAATAGGAAGCATACTTCTATAGGCCACTCTCCTTCGGTTGTATACGATGACTACAATGATAAGAAATCCCAGGAAAAGAGCAGCAACCAACAGCAATATGGGCCAAAATGTAATATATCCAGAATTTTCTTGGCTTTTTGGAACTATTATGATCAACTTGGTTGGTTCTGGAATGCCTGTGGAATTAACTGCATAAAAAGAAAAGATCGACAGAGTGAAAACCATTTTGTTATTGACAGATAGAAATCTATTTTCCTAACAATTCGGCGAGATAACAAAGGCATGACCTTCATATTCAATAACAACATCTTTATTCGTCTACTATCATATGAAAAGGTGGAAAACCTCGACTAGGTTGCTTATATCTGGATATTTAAAATGCTAGAGTGCATGGAGTAGCGAATCTCAACTTACTTGAATCATCACTTTGGCTAAAAAGGATTACTTCGCTTCGAATTTGTGATGATACACAATGATATCTTTTTCTTGAAAATTTAGGCACATAAATTTGGGCGAAAAAACTTTGGCATAGACTTGAGTTTAAGCTGTTGCATTTGAGGTCTTTGGCAAGGGTGACGTGGAACTGTTTCCCATTCCTGTACCACAATATGTCGTGGGCGGGATGTTCCCCGGGGTACAAGTAGCTTGTGACACACTCTAGGATAATACTTGTTGAAGTGGCGGCCCTCTCAGAAATGTGGACTGAGGTAGGGGGGACTGGAAAACGTAATTTATGAAATTTGACGCGTTGATTCTAAGAAAAACAAGGCTTGCACAAAATAATCACCAGCTAAAAAAAACACGATACATGTATCAACCCCAACTCCGAGTTTCACGGGCATACATATTGCACAAAAGGCCAGGAGGTGTTTATTTGACGACACTAACGTCGCACGCCGTGGCAGTTACGTCACCTTGGGCCTACACGTGGTAATTATTTCAGTTCTTTTATTTAGAGTATCTTGGGTTATCATGATCAGCAGTTTTTCGTCCAGGCAAAGGTTGCATAGGTGCTGATTTCTCCTTTCTATATGTATAATGTCATACTGAGTGGAGTTGATACATGTCTCGTGTTTTTTTTAAATTCTAATTGCGCATAAATGCTTCGGATAGTTGAGCACTCTGTACCACACGCACACCTGTTATATACATAAGTACTTACAGTATCGTCTGCACTTTAAACACATATTGTCAAACGTTTGTACACAAATATTGTTTGGGTTGCGTTTTATACTATGTCTATAGACATTCCACAATAAACCATACAAAAGCCAAAATCGGTTTCCTTAAAATACAATTTGATCGTTTTGTTGGTCATATACCTATCACCCGAACAGTCTGATATTCCTCTGAGGTGGCAGACACTCCTACGCCAATGAAATTAACAGAGCATGTGTAGTTGCCTCCATCCCAGTAGCTGGCATTAGATATTCGTATCAGACAGTTTATGGTGAGTAGATCGGACTTATTACTAGTACATGTCACTGAAATGTCTCTTTTGCTAAAATCATTCAAACGTTTAGTTTTGTTCTTTAGAGCTGTCTTAAACGTGTAGATTGGCCGGATACCTGTACCGTTCAGCGTGTTAACTTTCTTCCAGGTGACAATAAACCCAGCGAAAGACGGCATAGAGAAATTGCACCAAATTGAAAACGGATCGCCTTTGTCTATCGTTTGCAAAGTTGGTACATTTTCTGGCACTAATACTGAAATGAAAATGATGTGATGAAATGACAGTTTATGGTGATTAGATGATGTGCTTCTACCCCCCCCCCCCCAACCCGACATACCCTCCCTTACCAACCGACGTACGTGCAAAGACGCAACTACTCTTAAACTCACAAAAACGTCTATACTTTATGTCATTAAATTCTCAACCACATAGAATATTAACAGAAATCCAATTTTTGTGTGTCAGATTTTGCTACAAGCATATTCCATTCCATGTGGAGTCTAACAAGAGCACAGGAATGAGATTGGTGAATATCACCAATGCAAACAATTGTACACTCAAAGAGGTGCAGCATACGAAAAACATAGAATTTATCATATATACGAATCGATATATACCTACCTTCCACAATCCCACAGGCAGGGGCTATCAATATGATGACCCCTAAAATTAATATGGTAGTTCTTATGTGGAAGGCCATCTTAGCGTGCCGCACATTTAACTTTGTATTACTATTTTTGCAATGATAAACATATTTTGGACGTCGTGTTATTGCTTGTGAATTTGCACCCGCCATCCATGTGCTATTATACGTGTCATAGAAGTTTTCGTTGACTAATACTTTCACTTTAATAGGTTAGGCTCTTTGGTCGGCTTTGGTGAATAAAGCTTCCAAATATTATTATTACATCTGGCTCCAGTGCAGTTTTCTTTTTAGAGGTCCGTCATTTATATATGAATATACACTGTATGCATATGAATGTCATTGGTGATTATTTTGTTTTGAAATGAATAATGTCGGGTTTCAATCGTCAGTATATTGAGAAGGTGCTACCTGGGGGGAAATGTGTTCTATGGCGAACTTACACACCGAATTCTTATACATCTGTTATATGTTCAAAAGCAATCTGTAAATATTTAGTTGAAAGAAAGTTCAATAGCCATCAAAATGACTCATCCTTATGACAATGTTTTTTTCAATCTTTCTGTTTTTACAGTGAGTCATTACTGAAATTGAAAGTAAAAATAAAATAAAATAAAATAAAATAAAATGAAGGCCTTTCTACGAAAAAAGCTAGGTCTCTTTTCTTTTAAGAAACCTCTGCAGGTGCTTCGTGGACTTCTTTCAACATAGCTGCATAAATATGTGCATTTTGTTGCTGTATCTTCTGCTATCTTCAAATGATGAGCAATTTCTCTCCCCTACCCCCACTTTCTGACTGTAAGGTTCACACTTAATTAGTAACATTATTTTCTAAAATAAAACAGTTGAGGCTTCAAATTTTGTTCATAAGTATGGGACTTTACCATGTTTACAAATCATTCACCAAATACCAATTTTGTTCTCAATTTTTAAACGATTTTGGTTTTAATTTACGAAAAAATCCATAAAATATCATCTCTTGTGACCTTTGACCCATTATCAATGACCCTTGAGTTGTTGTCATGCATCAATGATATATGAAATTGATTGTCCCTTCTCTTACCCCTATAAGGATATATAATGCACTGGTAACTTTAACCATATTAACGAAGTAGGCATTTTCTCTTCCCATCCCAACTTTCAAGAGGGCATATTTTGAGCGTTAGGTTTACACTCTTTTATTTAATTTTCTAAAATTAGACAGGTGAGGTTCCAAATATCTTTCATAAGCATAAAATTATACCTTGTTTACAAATCATTCACCAAATACCACTATCTTATTTAACAATAATTAAAAAAAAAACCGTTTTGGTTTTAATTTATGAAAAATCCCCATAAATGACCTCATATGACCTTTCAACCCATTATCAATGACGCTTGACTAATTGTCATACATTCATGACTTTTGAAATTTATTGCCCCATTCCCTGCTTTCATAAGGATGTACAATTAATTGATGTACCTGTTATCATACAGATATAGTAAGCGTTTTCTCTCCCCTCCCCCCATGTGAAAAAGTCCTTGCTGCTGCAGGAGTGGGGTTATATAAGGTGTGACAGCACACAAAAAGCTACCAGTATGAGGTTTTTTGGACACTAGAGCTATAAGACCTACTAAAAATCACTATGAGAATTCGTCCCTTTTTTCGCATGATGACCGAAAATCAGGCGTCTAGCTCATGGGCTAATAGAAAATAAATTGTAGCTTCAAATGACATTTTGACCACTGAGTTGTTAGTGACAGTTGAATTTGAACAGATCAGAATGAGGAATTGAACAGGTAAATTAAAGTAAATTGGCTGTCTGAAAGTTGTTTTTACGTACCAATAACGTTAGACCCGCACGTTTGCACTCGGCTTTTTGTTTACATTGTTATAAGTTTTTCTACAGAAGAATGTGCAGAGCTTTGACACATGAAAGGAGTGTTTTTTCCGATCGTTCCATGCTGTTTTTGACATCATTTGCTAATAATGCCAATGTATCAGTTGAATCAGAAGGCTTAATTTGCATAAGTTATAGATATTTTATTAAAAAAATTAATTTACAAAAATACAAAAGGAAAATTTAAAGATAAAATATACAAATGGACAAATACAAAACAAAAAAATACAGCAACAATTGTGAACTATGATACAGTGAGCGTCAAAGATCAAAATTCATAATAACAGAGACTTTGACAGGATCACAATAAATCAATTTGAATTTTTATAGTCTGTGCAGTCAGACTTTGCAAATAATCAATGAATTTATGGAATTTTAGTCACGTACAATGTCCAGTTATATGTCTTTGCATTTGAATCAAATAAAAAAAAAATACCTGTATACGATATCGTTAATAAAGACAATCAACAAAACTCAAAACTCAAAATGGCACTTATATCCAAAAAGAATTCCACTGAAATTGGAAGTCAGGTAAATTGCTCTCACCCGATGATCACCAATTGTTGAACTGAAAAAATCATACAGTAGTAATTTTCCAGAAGTCATTTGCACTTTTCGATAAAATACCCAGTAACTAGTCCGCAACTAGTATTTTTCACCAGGAATACACCGTGTTAGGCCCTTGAAAAGCCTTTCATCTATATTGACCAAGTCCACATAGTTCTGGGCCTTAGAGATCAGATCTTCCAACTGTTGGCACAACTCTTTGAACGAAGGGCGAAATGCCGGTGGCTCTCTCCAACAGCGGTACATGATGCGGTACCTGGTACAAAGTAAGATGAAGGGTTTTTAATGTTTGTTAAAACAGACGATTGTGTGAAAAATGCCGGTGGCTCTCTCCAACAGCGGTACATGATGCGGTACCTGGTACAAAGTAAGATGAAGGGTTTTTAATGTTTGTTAAAACAGACGATTGTGTGAAAAGAAAATAAGAATACATAGACCACAGAATTTAACGATGACAAATTAATTAGTTGAATTGAAACTTGTACAAACCAGTATATACAGTACTGAGGTAAATTGAATATTACGGTCGAAAAAAAACGACTGAATTACGATCTACAAACCCGTTTTGAGTCACTCCGTCTCTTGTCGCTGCTCCTTTCTCTCCATTAAGGTATTTATAGACACAGAGACAACACAAAAGTACAGAGTGTATGAAAGAGAGATAATTCTATTTCTTCTTTAAGAAATTTACAGACAGAGGTTCACTCTTGCGTTCAGCAAGAAGTACAAAGTGTACAGGGTATGAGAAAGAGAGAGAGAGAGAGAGAGGGATGGAGATGGGTACTTACACCTCATATGTGCAGTGTTTAGGTCTCATCATACGGTAACCATTCTCCAGTTGTTGTCGTAGTATCATACTGGATATGCCTGGGTAGGGAGTGCAGCCTGGACAGGGAATTAGAATTTTTCTTTAGACGACAGTTACGTTCTACTCATGTGAATGCTTACATGTATTTTATCAATTTATTTTGAGGAGTGCTTGTTTGCAGTTCACCAATTATACTTTCTACTTACTTATTACTGTTTTGAAAAAAAGAGTTAATAGCAAAGTGTATGTCTTCACGTTCATTCTAAAAACATTTAAGGCTTACAAAAGAGGATATATATACCCAAAGTAACTATCTCCCACATAAGAATACCAAAAGACCACACATCGCTGTGGGTGGTGTACACGCTGTCCTTGATTGATTCGAGCGCCATCCAGCGGAGAGGTAGGAAACCCTAATAAAACCATAGGGATTGTTGATAATTGCTTTTGTGTTGATTTTCATGGATCATGTCAGTCTTGTTAAATCGAGTTCAAAGGGTTGGCAGACAGAGATATGGCAAGATAATGCAGTAAACGGAGGGGCTCTCTAAACGAACATTTGCACAGGTACTTGTATTTCAAGATGAAGACAATATACTCCAGGTGGTTAGTCAGTTAATTAAATCTGATGCATTAGCCTGTGTATTTGCAAAACTAAGAATGTTATATAGCTATAATTGTGTAGTCCAGTACAACGTACCTGTGACCGGCTCTCGTATTCTCGAATTAGGCTGACATCTCGCGCCAAACCAAAATCTGATATCTTACAAGTGAAATGTTCGTCCACGAGCACATTGCGTGTTGCCAGGTCTCGGTGGAGATACTATAAAAAACAACACATGGTTAAATTAAATATAAAATGACACGACAGACCTATATATTGGATTCCATCAATTAACTACGAGAAAATGTGTATGGAGTTTTTTTTTTTCAATTTTCATTGTCCTTCAAATACACCCTTCTCATCAAGTACAGTAGCTGCATTTTGTCTTCAAAACATTTTACTAGCCCCCCCCCAGCCTGCAAATTTACCAGTAGAACCCTATCTAAACTGTAACGTAATTTTAACGTGTGAGCTGGAGTAGAAATGCTACTTCCCAGAAAACAACTTACTCTACCAAATGCAAACCTGAAAAATGTTACCCAAAAATCTAAATTAAAAATATAATTCTCAAATTTAACAAAAAATGGTAATTTACCCCCAGTTCCGCTATATGTGTCATCCCACACGCTACCTCATAGGCAAACGTAAGGAGCTGTTGAGCTGTAAACTTGCTACAGCCGTACGTGTTACTGTAGTAGGTGTTTCCCCGACCATTCCGCAAAACACGCTGCAGGCTGCCCATTGTCTGGTACTCCATCACGATAAACAGAGGGTCTGGAAAAAATGTGAAAACTTTTTTAATTGAAAGGGTACAATCTGTAGCTGTATAAAGCAGTACTTAAACTAAAAACGTGTGTGTGTGTGTGTGTGTGTGTGTGTGTGTAATTATCATTTAGCAGCTTTAGTGGGCATCCCCGACGCCTAAGCCGCTTGGGCTGAAAGCAATTTTGTGAGAAACCCCGTGGAGATGGACCGATCCTGTTAGATCGATCTAGGCATGGGAACCCAGTCATAAATGTGCCCAGAGTAATATATTAACTCAAAAGGCACTACACAGTATTGGATGATTAATGTTTCCTAAATCAAATACCGTAGAAAATTATCAGGTTTACCTTCTTTGGAGGATGTAGCTATTAAAGGAACAATATTTTTGTGCGCTGGTACATTTTTCAGTGTCTCCATTTCTGTTTTGAAATCTTCTTTTTCTTTGTACATTGTATTTCCTAAAAAAACAATGAAAAACCACATAAGAAATCGGTGCATTAAATTTCTGTATGTATATCTCACATAAGATTTAAAAATAATTGACATGATGCATGCTTATCAAATACATGTACATTTATACTAGTCTGCCAGACACTACATTTCATATCAGCTTTTAGTTGCAGTACGGTGTGTTTTTAGGTTTTTAAAACATGGAAAGTCAAGGCAGATTAAAGACTGAAAAAAAAAAAACGGTATCTTCTACACCAAAGCGTCCCATCTACCTTTCAAAATTTTAACGGCCACAGTTTTCACTTTTTCCTCGACCTCCATGTAGCCTTTCCATACCTCTCCGAACTGACCCTCGCCCAGTTTGCAGGAACGATCGAACTGGAGCTCCTGGATTGAGATTTCCCCAGCGCCTGTCTCCGACGAGGTGTTTTCGGTGCCTGCAGGGTTGACGGCGTCATGTACCGGAGGTTCCAGCTGGAACCGTGAACAGAATTACAAAAACAGTTGACTTTCATTTAGATACAATGTATGGACATTTTATGAATCTAAATTACCAGTTGGCAGATTAAAGATAAATGACAATTTACTGTACACAGGGAAATAATAGTTTTATCAAAGTTCAGCGGTTTAAACTCAATGAAACATGGCTAAATACACATATTAGTCCGTTAATACATTACACCTGTAACCTTCACGAGTTAAAATGACTGATTAGTGGAATATTAAATGGTTCACCCTCCGTAGTTCCTCGTCTTCTGGGTCCTGATCCGGTGATCTTCTTCTCTTTCTTGCCTGATAGTACTAATCATTTAAATATCGTGTGATTCTTCGATAAATAAGCGATCCAATTGTTATATACACGGTACACTAATTTCGTCTATTGATCACTGTTCATAAAAAATAATAACGGTACATTTTCCATTTAAAGCAGTCGTGACAGACATAATTTCATATTCCAATATAAATTTTGTATAATTATGTTTAAAAAGCTAAGCAAATATACAGCACTTGCTAGTAAATATAATTGATTTTCATTTCTTTTTACGTGCGATTGCACGCCATATCACAATAAAATTATATATACCATGTAGAAAAAGTCTTGTTGTGTAGGCCTACTGGAACAGATTTTGGTGTACATTCATGCACTCCATATATAATTATATATTCCTGGACCAAAACCAATTTCTACTTTAAAAATTTAATCAATTTAATCTTTAAAAATCTATCGAAAAAAGCTGAAACAAGAGAAAGTTTAGCTTGGACGTTTCCAAAGTCAGCGGACAAAACGGTCAAAGTTTTTCGGTCAATGTGTTTTCAACTTTGCAGGGTCTGGCGTAAAAGTAAAGAGACGGCAGTGCAGAAGTTGTATAATGTGTACTGTTGGGATATACTTATACTCACCCTATATACATAGTACACGGCAGTGGTGATAACAATTGAGATGATAGCGCCCGCTGCACTCGCCAGGACATAATTCGCCCCTGAAACAGACACAATTGTAAAAAATATAAAATATAATAATATGTGCTTCGGCAATTAAACATTTGACGGGCGACCTTTCTTTTGTCCTCTCCAATCCGTCCTTTAATTTTAATCAAAACTTTGAAATGTGTATATCATTTTCAGAACCTTTTCACTGACAGCTCACATGTGGAGTTAATTAATAATTATGGCAAATTTGAAGATTACATGCATTGTTAACACACCCACTTTGCCGTATACACATTTAGTACATTTTTGCGACTTATATTAACGTTTAAATGGTAATATTTTCACATTAATCGACTTGCCTACAGCAGTTGGTGCTTCATGTTCCATCCCAATGGTGCTCTCTGAAACTGTGAAGATATGCCAGTGATAATGCTATCAAGACAAACGAAGGGCATTCCAAATTTATGTTATTTTTTCATTTCTTACTAAACTCTCTCTCTCTCTATTTTTTTTTAAACCACATCCTGAGCAGGTTATTCAGTTCAGTTCATAGTTCGCTGCCTAAACTGAATTGATAATGGACAAATGCAGAATCACCCAGCAGTGCAACCCTCTTTTTTTTCGGCACAAATAGATTTATGAGAAAAAATCCCCCCAGCTGCCCTTTGTAGTGCCCTATCAGAAGCCAGCTTGGTAATGACGTCATTTCTGTGCAAATATACTCTCTTGGCAGAACTGATATGTTCACTGAATTAGCCAGAGTATTGTCAACTAATACAAAGAGTAAAATATCTCAGTGATTGAGGGTACACATTAACACAAATAATACACAGTATAATGGTGGCGCGTTTAGCCTCACCTGTTACTGTTAAAGTAAACCTCTGCAAACACGGATGAGACTCATCTATGAGATGGAACTGGCAGGTATAGTCAGCCTCGTCTTCAGGGGTCAAACTATAAATCGACAACAAGGTCCAGTTTCTTCCCACTGTGACGTTCAATCTGTCGGTAGAGACGCTCGACTTGGGCTCTATCGTTTGACCGGCGTTCTTGTAAAGGAAAGATGCCATTGTCTCCGATTTCTGAGAACCCTTGCGTTTGAACCAGTCAATTTCTTTAACCCTGTTCATGCTATCTTTGTCCATGGAGCATTTTATCTGGGCTCGATCTCCGGGTGAAAATGCGGTTTTCTCAGGTGACTTTGAAATTTGGCAACCCTGGGCTGAGAAAACAATTGGAAAGCTTTAGAAAGGGACTTTGTATGAAAAACAAACGATTGATATGAGTCACGCTTTATAGTTTTCTAGTGTCTATGCATTGATCTGTTGACATACCTTCATACCTAAAAAAGAAGATCCATTCAATACGCAAAAAATCATGTTATTTAAACAATTGTGAGTTCCCTTTTACACTTTTAGTTAATTTTACATGTGGACCTCTACCTATTTCTTCAAGCCCGTTGCATCTTTGCAGAGGCAGGAAGTTTTCTACCCTTGCTCCGTAATTGCTTGTTGATCAATGCAGAGTTGAGTAGCAAGAAGTCTGTGTAACATTTCCCCTTGCCTTCGGTCCAGTTAAGAAAATATGGGTGTTTAAACAGTCTATAATGTATTTGTTAAGTTCTGAACTCGATAATGTGATGATATATCAGAGAAACATTGCCTGAAAATTTTATTTGTTGAATTTTCTCAAGTAAAAATTATTCAAACTTTTAAGCAGAAGTAGACGGCAGACCGACATGAAGACAAAGGCGGCTTCATCAAATTCTGACACAAAGAGATAATATATGGCTTTATCGTACATATCGCTGGTTAAACTGAAGCTAAGACTGCGCTAGTGTCTCCTCAAAGCTGAAATAATAAAATTCTGTTCCTGTACCTTGCACCAGCAGGGTTATGGTGATCAACCACCTCTTCATAACGCGGGTCGAATTATTCACCATGTAACAGATCTTCCAGGCTCTTTTCTCGTGGGATATGAAAACTTGATGCTTTGAGCCAAAAAGTTGAGACTTAATTACAGTCCACGAAGCACCTGCAGAGGCTTTAAGACAAGAAACCTCTTTTCGTAGACAGACCTTTATTTTTTATTTTACTTTCAACTTCAGTAATGACTCATTGTAAAAACAGAACGATTGAGAGAATTATGAGTCATTTTGTTGTCTATTGAACTTTCTTTCAACTAAATGTTTACAGGTTTTCTTTTGAAAACGAAACAGCTGTATAAGAGCTATAGAACTACATTTATATAGCTATAGAACGTGTTTTTCCTCAAGTAGATCTTTCTCAATTAACCGACGATTTAAGTAGGAGATTATTCCTTTCAAAAATCATGCATTTAGAATTTCATCAATGAAATTCGTATACACATATTCATATATAAATATTTGACCTTTGAAAAGAAAATTCCACTAGATTTAGATGTAATGATAATATTTGAAAGCTTTATTTATTAAATCCGATCAAAAAGCCTTACCTATTAAAGTGAAAGTATGAGTCAACGAAAACTTGGGTATGTTATCCTTTCGTTTTGAAATATGCGGTCACCTGGCGCTTCATTACGACACGGTCTCTAAATAGCATATGGATGGCGTAAGCAAATTCACAAACGGTGAAACGGCGCCCAAAATATATTCATCACTTTGCAAAAATAGTAAAACGAAGTTAAATGTGTGGCAGACTAAGATGGCGTTCCACATGGGAACTACCATATTAATTTTAGGGGTTGTCATGTTGATAGTCCCTGCCTGTGGGATTGTGGAAGGTAGGTATATATTGATTCATATGATAAGTTCAGAGGTCTATAACTCGTATGTTTTTAGTTTGCTGCACCTCTTTGAGTGAACAATATTTGCATTGGTGATATTCACCAATCTCATTCCTTTGTTTTTATTAGACCCACATGGAATGGAATAGGCTGTAGCATAATGTGATACACAATAATTGGATTTCAGTAATTAATAGTAATCCAGTACTGTTGATGTACAGCTATAACTTGTATAAACTAGTTTCTTAATCCTCCCTTTCAAAAGAAACACAGCAGCTTATTGAGTTTCTTTGGTATTTATTTTTGACATATGTAAATATTCAATGAGGGCGAGAATGTTAAAATATTTATAAAGTAGGGGCGATTTTGTGAGTTATCGAGTGCACTGTATATGGGTGAGAGTAAACTGTCATTTCATCACATCATTTTCATTTCAGAATTAGTGTCAGAAAATGCACCCTCTTTGCAAACGATAGACAAAGGCCATTCGTTTTCAATTTGGTGCAATTTCTCCTTGTCGTCTTCCCCTGGATTTACTGTCATCTGGAAGAAAGCCCACTTGCTGAACGATACAGATATGCGGCCCATCTACATGTTACGGATAGATGGATTGAATATAGCTAAACCTTTGAATAATTTTATTGGAAGAAACATTTCAGAGACATGTACTAAGAATGGGTCACATCCAATCACCATAAACTGTCTTATACAAATATCTAATGCCAACTACAGGGACGGGGGCAACTACACATGTTCTATTAAACCCACTGGACATATAAGTTTCAGCACCTCAGTGGCATATCAGACTGTTCGGGTGATAGGTAAATGGCAAAAGATTACGATCACAGTGTATTTGACAACCGATTGTGACTTTTATGTAGTTTATTTTGGAATGTTTATAGACTTAGTTTGGCAATATATGTTTATAAGTGCAGCCGATAAAACCTGTACTTATATATTTTGTAAAAATGAACCTATATGCATGCGAATCAATGAGAATTATAAACTATTTTAACAGGCCTAGCCAAGACCGAATTCAGTGCAAAGTTCTGTTGGAAAACAATGTCCGGGGTCTACTAGGTCATAATTATTTTGTGCAAGCTTTGTTTTTTATTTAACGCTTCAAATTTCATAAATAACGTTTTCCAGTTCCTCCTACCTCAGTCAACATTTCTCAGAAGGCCGTCACTTCAACCAGCATTATCTTAGAGTGTGTCACAAGCTACTTGTACCCTGGGGAACATCCCGCCCACGACATACTGTGGTATACCAATGGAAACCTGTCCCACGTCACCCTTGCCAAAGACGTCAAATGCAACAGTTTAAACTCAAGTCTGTGTCAAACGTTTTCGGCTATGATTAATGAGTCAAAGGTTCCAAGTAAAAGATATCAGTGTGGTTCAGCAGACATTCGAAGCGAAGTATTTATTTCCAACCAAATTGATGATTCAAGTAAGTTATATTTGCTTCTTCATGCACTCTAACATTTTTAATATCCAGATATAAGCAACCTAGTCGAGGTTTTCCGCCTTGCCATGTGCTAGTAGACGAATTAAGATGTTGTTATTGCATATAAAGGTTATGACATTGTTAACTAGCCTAATTATTAGTAAAATACATTTTTATCTGCCAAGACACAAAAAAGGTATCAACTTATCGGTCTTTTATTTATTTATTTTTTTTTTGTAGCTGATTCCACATACATTCCAGAACCAACCAAGTGGATCAGAATTGTTCCAGAGAGCAAAGTGAACTCTGGATATATTCATTTTTGGTCCATATTGCTGTTGCTTGTTGCTGTTTTGCTGGGACTTCCTATCATTATAATCATTGTATGCAACCGAAGAAAAAGGGCCTCTAGAGGTAAAGACATTCTTCTTATAATTTATCTCCTTTCATCTGTTTATTTTAACCTTATCGTGTAATGCACTTTAACCCACATCTTTTGTGAAGAAAACAAGATATGGACCCGATTAATAAGCTGTGTAAAAGGTAGAAAGGGAAAATAAAAAAAATCCAAATTGGGGAATTTATATTATTATTCGATAAGTGATTTAATGAACTCAAACTAGTTAAATGTTTACAATCAATTTATTTTTGAAACACATGCACCTATATTTTGCAACAGTAAACGACAGGAGTCACATTTAATCAACATACATTCTAAATGAATCCTAAACTTTGATCCTCTTTAATGCAACGTCTGGTGTAGGACAGATTACATGAATAGCCATACATACCATTTGTTTATTTAGCGGTACATTCATCAAGGCAAAAAACTCGGACAAACCGCCGCCGAAGACGTGATGTAAGTATGAGTGTGTTTCTGGCATGTCTGATGTTGAGAAATTCTCGAATATTGTACACATGTTGCATTCATATCTAGCGTGAATGACTCGAAAGGAAAGCACATAGAACGCAGGCACACGTTAATCCGTATCAAGCGCAGAAAAATCGGTCTTCGACCCCGTGATTGTATAGCTCTTTTAGGCTTGAACTTCAGAATTTTTCAGCACGCTTGGACGATTTTGTTTTCTTGTGTGTTTCTTATAATTAACGTTTTATACAATAAAATTAAATATAATTTTAACTATCCATTAACGTTAAATGTTAAAAAGATCAAATTCCATTGCAGGCATTGAAGTTAAACGTGGAAGGACTCATTTATGCGGACCTTGATATTATCGGCACGCCCCCAAAGAGAACTACTTTTATCGACAGAGAGAAAACGGAATATGTGCAAATAAGAAGAGTCTAGATGCAAAACATTTTGTGACAGCGAACAAAACATTAGAGGCGTTGACTTTAATACTTCTAAGTGTTCTACACATGCAAGCACGTGTGTGTGCGTGTGTATGTTTGTGTACCGCAATCGGTAGGCTCGGGCCTCTTATGCTAGATGGTTGTATGCACTCTTTATGGTTCATCCTGTTTTTTTTATTCCAATTGTCAATTTAAATTCCGTTATTTATATAACTAACTTCATCAATTTATGTATACCAATGTATACATGGATTCATATAAACAGTGGTTTTTCTAAAAGTGCATGGCGGTACTGGATTAATTGGTATTTTGAAAAACGCAATGACCAGTGACATTCACTGTTAAATAATCTTTAGTCAGAATTGGTTAATAGGGAATTAGGTATTCATATATATGTGGGTTGGTATAGTGAGTATGTGTAAGTAAGTGTACATGAATATATACAATAAGAATGAATAATTTGATTTTTAAACCTTGAATGTTCTTTTTTGATATTATTGAATCTCTCGTTTCATAACAAATATATATGTTGGCAATGTAACTTAGCAAATATATCAATTATCCATTGTCTGTTTGCCGATCTTTTGCTGTGACCATAATCATACCCTAATTTAATTATTCATCATATGGTACGCACCTTTCCATCCCCTCTCCTTATTATTCATAAATTGAACTGAAAATCCCTGTAGTATTATGTTAGCCATACATCTGTCATATTGCAACTTTGTAAACTCTCTCATCATACCCCTTACACAAGACCAAGTTATTAAATTATCCAAAATTTTACCTTTCAGTTATCTAAATACAACAACTTTTTGGTTCGTTTTTTCCTAAAATTGCATCAAATTTGGCCTCAGGTGACCTTTGTCCATTGATTCACTGTACATTGCTACATTACACATAATATATTTTTCGTTATTATATCGTTCACACAAAATAAATTAGCAAACCTGATCCTTTTCCTACCCCGCCTCCATTACTCAAAAAATTGAACCAAACACCCTCTACAGCACTTGTGCCCTCCGTAAATGCCTCAATTTGCAAAGTGTCATAATCTAAACGTATCCCTTGAATATAGAGCAAGTTATCAGAAATAATCCAAAATATTTTTCATTACATTGTCTTTAGCCTATTTAGAAACGTTTTGGTTCATTTTCCTGAAAAAGCCTCAAAATTGACCTCAGGTGTTTTTGACCTACTTTCATTGTTATATTATACAATTAAGATTTTTTGTTGTTGCTTTACCAATTAAAACAGTCCTTGAGCTAAATAAATAATTTGCATTCCAATCTAGGAAACCTATCAAATGATGAGTATTTTCCTCCATTAACCACATAATTCATAAATTGACTCCCAGAGTATTTGTGTCATCCACAAGTGTTTCATACTGTAAACTGTCAAATATCACCAAATTCATTTAATAAGGGCAAAGTTAACGGAAATAGGCATAAAATAACCATAGGGCTTAATATTGACTTACCATCTCTTTAAAAACGTCATAGGTCTA